TACCCGTTTTTTGTTTCATCTTTTTTTTCAAAGCAATTAACAGTGTATTTTAACCTGTGGCTTTTTGCTTTGTCTTGACGCAGTTCTATTGATTTATGGCATTATGGGTAAAGCAATATTCATAAATCCCTTTGAAAATCTTTCTTTAGATTCTTTGAACCATGTTTCAGGATTTTTTTCCTCCTCTTTGATGATAATAAAATGGATCTCTTTTTATTACAGTTATTCAAATGCATCCAAGATTTATCTTTCGTGGTAAGATTTTTCCATTTTTGTCCGGATAAATATTTCTTATAAGGAATTTTGCAGCTCGTTCTGCTTTCGGTTATATGTCGTGGAGAAAGATTGTACACATTTGGTAAATTTTGCAGCGCGTTTTGCGTTCGGTTATATGTCGTGGAGAAACATTGTTTTTTTCCCCTTTTCGGGATTCAAATCAGCATTAATCATTTTGTTTTTAGTCGACACTGAGCATTTTAATGATTTTGCAACTGTCCCTTGACTTTGCGGATTTTGTTTGATTTGAAGATAAAAAGCGTAACTTTTCAACATTCTAAACATTCTGTTTTTTCCTTTGATATGTATTTGAAACAACTTTTTCATTTGAGGCTGAACTTTGTCGCTTTTCTCTTTCTTGTTGGCGATACCTATGAGCTTTAGATATTGAATAACCATGGCTTTCACAGCGTTTTTTAATGACTAGTTACGAATAACTTTCTTCGGAAAGCGTACAAACGTACCATCCGAGCCACTTCTTTAAAAGCGCCATTTTGCATGAACCAAAACTGTCAAGTAGAAGACGATAATTTCTACTTTCAAAAATATAGTTGCAGTTAAAAAAATTTCGAAGCAGACAATTTTTTATAGCAAAGCAAAATCGTATAAAAAGCGTGTGAACAACCTCTTCATAAGCGAAAAGTCCACCGGTCATTAATCACCTGTAACTAACTCGTTAATTGCATCAATCTAAATCAATTAACCATCATACCGTTGTAAATTATTTATGAAAATATTTATGTATAGCTGTTTTACATTTTATACCGTAACTAATTAATTAAATATTTACTGATTTTGGATTAGTGCGTATTTTTAAGTTTAGATTAAATTTTATAAATTCTATTTGTTATTTAATTAACTACTTCTTTCATTAAACTACTTTTTATTATTCTTGAGTAAAATTGCTTCATCTGAAGCAAATTTAAAAATAGTATTCACACACAAAAATTTGCAATTTTATATTAATTTTTCAGCTGTTGATATATACAGCAAAAATTTTCTATCTTGAAACAAAGTGTGAGGATTTTAACCATAGAATTATAATATTGTTACGAATTTTGTACATAGATATATGATTTCAGTTCAGTTACATGTAAAATTGCTGTGCTTTTCTGCGTAATGTAACACAAAAATCTAGAGAGACGATGCTATGCCGGAAAAATAAGAATACAGGGGCATCTATTTAACATTGGGTAAATCCCTATCTCTGTAATTTGGCGAGATATCGCCAAACTGGCAATAGTTTCGGAGACTAATTTTGTCGCTAAATTTGACGAAAACCGCGAGCAATTTAGTCCGGTTCCTGTATAACTGTAATGTTACACGCGCTGAGCTTTAAGCCCATGGCAGTGAGTCATGCACTATCTTTGCCAACCTCTGCGAAGAGCTAAAACTCCAAATATCCACCACAAAGTCCACTGCTATCATCTTTACAAGAAAGGGTACAAATCCAACACGTAGCCCATGTATCAAACTACAAGGCCGGAATATTAAGGGTCGTAAAAACTTTAAGATACCTTGGGTAATATGGGACCCAGTCTGACTTGGCTTCCGCATATCCAGGCACAAAAGATTAAAACATCTACAATTTCCAGGAGATCACGACAAGGCCGGAACTGGGGACGGAATCCCCACATTCAAAAGGTACTTTACGAAACTGTAGCTGAGAAGGTGGTACTCTATGCGGCAGCTATATGGGCACAACCCATGACCGCACGCAAGGTTAAGCAACTCCTATCACTACAGCGCCCATTTGCCCTAGGTTTATGCAGAGCCTACCGCACCACTGCAACTTATGCAGCACTCACCTTGGCAGGCATCATGCCACTTCATATCCAAGCGGAGCTAGAGGCCACATATACTAAAATAATACATCTACAGAAAGACGCAACCTTTGCAGGCACCTTACATAGCCCTACAAATTACGAACATCCATGTACTCCTCTCCACACCCACCCAGCACACAAGGGACTGGGCATTCACACTATCCTCAAACCGTCACGACGTCAACCAGAAGGAAATCCTAATATGCACGCGTTCTACACAGATGGCTCGAAAACTGCTGAGGGTGTAGGTAGTGCCTTTATATACTACAGGCAAGGCCATGCTGCACACCATTGGAAAGGGCACCTCAATCCAAATAATAGCATTTTTCAAGCAGAAGTAGTTGCCATAACAGCTGTCATTGAATACGTGGCGCTCAACAACATCACACATGTGCAGCTTTATACAGACAGTATGCCGACACTGCTTGCTCTTGACAAACATAGTCACGCCTCCCTGCTGATCATACGACTGCAGCATATCCTAAAAGATAATCGGCACGCATATGTTGACCTAGTATGGATTAAAGCCCATGCAGGTAACATGGGTAATGAGACACAGCAGATGAACGCTAAGGAGGCTGCTTCGAACCAAAATGCCAGACCGATATCAGTATCAGCATCACCATCTTTCCTCAAAAGTCAACTGCGAAATGCCGCTATCCAGTGGTGGCAAAGATAATGGGATCAGGGCGACACGGGAAGGAGAGCGCATAGCTTCTTGCCAAAAGTAACCACGGAGCGCCTTATAGCAATTGCTCCCCTTACCAACTTCATTACTGGTCATGGTTCCTTCCCGGATTACTTCTACCGCCGCACCATCTCAACCACGCGGATCACTGTGTTTGCGGGGGTGAGGGGTCACCGGACCATTATATCTTTCAGTGCCCACTCACGGAACAGTTCCACTTCCCGATACCAGCCAATATCTCAGCATTTCACAAGTTCCTAGCCAAAAACAGAGCGGCCATAAATAAAATCTGCAAAGTAATAACCACCATTGCAGCATATGGCCATGACCTCTGTCAACCAGAGTAATAGAGCTTATATGCATTACTTGCACTGACATATGCACTCTAATGCTCTATCATCTAATCTCTGACTGCATAGGGAGCAGAAGAAAATTGAACACCATTTTGAGGTGTTTAATTTTCTTCTTTTGTTATAACCTATTAAGTGTTTTTTTCAGTGCCTGTATGTTAATTCAAATGTACTTCAAATGCCAGATGTCGAACAGTTGCCCCTGTATGGCCATGTATCCACACTTATAATTATTATATAAACTCCAGGGAAGGACGCGGGACATATGCCAGTTAACCTCTGTTAAAATTCAGGCGTCCCCGTCCTCCGTCATCTGTATAACTGTAATGGTGTTGTAATTGAATACCTGTAAACGTTTTAGGCTCTCATATTCTTTCCAGTAATTTCGAGAAGCAGAAAATACTAGAAATATCTCGGCGGCCGGATGAAAACTACATAAGACCGAAGACAGCATCTGCTATCAGTTATCAGTTGAACGTGAATTCGGAGTACTAAGATATCTCCGGGTTAGCTTCGTTCTTTAGATGCGCTTTGCATTGCATTGTGTTTAACGTTAATAGTAGTTTGAAGTGTGACTACTGATTGTACTCTGTGACACTGTGAAGAGTTGTACGACCATTTTTGTGGGAAATTCCAGAACTGTAAAGTGTTTCTTTTGGTAAAATAAATTTTATCCACTTTTCATCGGACTTGTGTGCATTCAGTCTATTACGAACCCGTACCCGTGCAGCAATATTTAACCTGATTAACGTCTGAAATCTTTTCGATGTAATTTTCAATCATGATAAACATTTACGATTAATTTTTTTAAAACATTCTCATTTGTCTCTCATATTCAAAATTTACTTCTGAATATCCTTCTCTGAATGCAATTTGCTGCTTAAAGAGTTATTTGTTTTAAGACATAAGTTTGAACACATTTGTCAAATAACTGTATAAATATTATCGTATCTCTCAAAAATATTGAATTTCATTCTCGTAAAAAGTATGAAAAAAAATATTTAATCAGTCTGTGAAAAAAAAAAAAGTGTCCTATCCAAAATAGTTTCGCTGGAACCGATGTCCCGCCTATGTACGCCGGACATTCTGCTTCTGATCCGAAAACGTTTCGTTTGAAGCTCTGTCCCTCGAAGGTTTTCCGCAAGGAACTAGTTTTCAAGTGAGTTAACTAATCAAATATCCTGAAAGCGAAGATTTTGAGGAATTTTTCTTTCAACGCGTCCTTGAAGATAGGCTGTAGACGTGATACCAGTTAAATGACTGTCCACTTTCTGTAGTGCATACGAGCAGTGTTTTAGGAGTGATGGTTAAATGACCGACGGATTCGGTTATTCCCTACAAATGCTTGAGAAGTAAGTATGTGATCTGTTGGGGGGAAAAGTTATTGGGAATTCTTTTCCCTTTCTGCTAATCTGCTTGGTAGCCTATATCTATACAAGCATAATTATTATTTTTAAAAATAAATTATGTTAGAGCAGAAATATGTAAAATATTAAAATTTTGCCTAGCAAGAAAGCAATAAACAGTTATGCAAGATAAAATACATTTTTGGAAACAATAATCCATTTATCTAAAAGAAAAATGAAATATCATCTTTTTTAATTTCATAACTCTCAAGTCATAATTTTAAATTGCATTATTCTAATAAATTATTCTGAATCAAATTTTCTAATCAATTACGGTTCTAAAAATGAAGACTCATTCGTAGCAATTCGTTGTTATTTTAGAAATGCTTCACATATGCCTGTATAGCGCATAAAAATTCTTAAATACAGCAGAACATATTATGTGTAATTATTGTGAGCCTGAACGAGAAATATGAATATGTATGGATGGTATAAAAAAGTGCGTACACAGTTCTTCTAATGTAATGATTTATTTTCTGCAACATATTTTTAACTTTTTACACTGAAATCTACATAAAGTATATTACACTAATTACAGCATTTCTCAACGTCATATTTATGTTATCAATAACTTTGAACAAGGAGATAGTATTTACACAAAGAACGAATAAAAATGATTAACGTCTTTATATAGTTGTAAACACTTGACTCCTGCATCATTCTGAACGAAAGTTCTTTTAATGTTTTATCTTAAGAACAAAATTGTTTATCTAATATAAATTATAATATGACGATTTTAATTGGATTTAAAATATACAAACAAATTTATTATTTGTGATTTAAATAATTCCAAATTAGTTATCATTTCAGTACACTGTACATTATGTCAGAATGGATTATAAAATAAATATTTAAACATTAAATAACTATTCAGTTTGAAACCACTCAGTTTGTTAAGCAGTTATAATTTGAAAGGTAAATTAAAGATTTAACTTCACCTCGCGAAGCAATCATCTGGAAATTAGATATTTGCCAGGCCGCGGGAATAGCAAAATACTTAATACCCTAACATAACCAATAATCTAAAAATTTGGAAGGATTACTTTGAAGATAGTTTCTAAAGTTAAAATTAATTAAAATAAAAATAATAAAAATTCCTGTTGGTAAAACTTTTGATATATCAAAGATGAATTTTTTTCTAGATTTTTGTAGAATAAAATGAAAACTTACATTGAAAATATAATTTAAAGACATCTTTTTATTTAAAATAATTTGTGAAAATTGTTAGTAGCGAACAAGCTTCTTCTTATACGACATACTAAAAAAATAAATTAACCTACTCAAGCATAAATATACTTCATCTTTTAACGCACCAACATTAAATTCAGGAGTAATTTTCAGTCAAATTAGTTCACATGTTATAGTTTACGATAATGAATGGTGTATTAAAACAACACCTATAATAATTTCAACAAAGGGAATAGAGATATTAATTTTCCATTACATTCATAAACATTTCAAATCTTGGCTGTTTCATCTTAAATACAGCAGTTTTACTTTGCGATCAACAGGAGAACACATTTCAAATACTTGTCAAGTATGCGTGCTTATCTGGTGCAAGATGAATAGTCTTAAAACATTTATTTCATATTTTCATAACAAGAACTTTAAATCAATATCATCACATGTTCATGTTCATTAGAGATGAATTCGCCGCAGATCACCAGGAGATGTAATTGTATCACACTGAGGGCATACCCTTTTGTTTCCCTGAAAAGTAAAGGAAAAGTTCATTATTAATTAATTGAAACTTTTAAAGAATTTTCTGTAATTAGAGGGACATGCTGAATTCATAGCAAATACCATAAGCATTTTTAACCTGCTTAAATTTAATATCTAGGCATAATTTCAGTCGTAGAATCGAAATATGGAAAAAAAATGGTATCTTATTTCAGAAAAAGTCCGATTTTGTATCAAAATACCTATGTTAGAACAATGCTATATATAAATCTAATATATACCCTAAGTCGCGCTTTCGAAGCATGAAAAACGCAATTTGAATTTTGTCAATCGGCCAGTAGAACGGAAGATATGGAACAGCCCCCTTTTGTGTGTGTGTGTGCGTGTGTGCCGTGTACCTTTTTCTCCAGGGCTTTTCTTTATAATGTCACTTTTGCAATTCCTGGGAAATTCTATCACACCTAATGGCAATGTGGACACTATCAAACATTTTCTAAGTATATTTATATAGCATAGGAAAGGTTAAGAGTCACGGCTTGGAAATGCTCACGTAAATGCTCCTGTAATATCATTTTTCCAACAGTAAGCTAGCTTTGGCTGAGAAGCTTTCATGAAGTTAACCCACGAAAGAGTATTATTATTATAAAGTATTTTTATAAGGATATTAAAATTCTGTATGTTATTTTAATTCTAGGAATGAAAGTAAATTAACTTTAGCTTAGTTTCAAATTATTGCAAAATATTTAGGTTATTGAGAGTATTTGCTTTATATCGTGTAAATATTTAAATTGTTAAAACTAATTCAAATTTTGTGTTATTTTGGATTTGCGTACTTTTGTTAAAAAATTTTCATTTTTTTATTTTACGTTGTTTTAAATTAGGGTACATTTGTTTTATTTTAAAAAGAATAATTATTTTATTATGTTTTAGGTCACGAAATCCTGTGTATATATCCGCTTGTAGTTACAAATAAGTTTGGTAGAAATAAGACACCGGATCTCAAGATTTTATAAATAAATTCAAAGCGAGATTTTCTAAACTTGACAATAAGATGGCAAAACTTAAAAAATATCGTCAAATTTAGCAGCTGTTGGAAATTAGTTGAATTTTGGGATTACAGTAATTCTGACAAACTTCTCTCTCCTTACCTCTATAAATTCGAGGTTTTTCATTTTTAGTTGTTAGTCAAATTCATGAAAAACATGGTATTTTCGGGTGCTACATTGTTTTGTTACATTAGTTTGTTGATTATTTTTGTATCTTCATCTGGCAAAATATTATTTCCCCTTGCAGAAAACGGAACTCCTGTTTCTGTTCTTCGAAATCCGTAGAGTGTTTCTTTAAAACTAAGTCATAAAATCAATAAAGCAGGATAATAAAAAGCAGATCAATAAAGCAGGATTAAATAAAGCAGGATTTTTCCATTGATTTAATGCTTCCTTGTCAATTCATAAAAACTTCGTAACATATAATACTTCAGTCATACTCAGTTTTCTTTTCATGATTTTTTAAAAACAATTGAAAGCGAACTTAAAATTTTAGAGTAATACTGCTTTTCCTCATAAATTTTGCTTCAGTTTCTTTAATTTAAAAAAGATCTCGCAAATGCTAATTTTGTAATTAATCATTTCTATTATTTCTGCTATATACAAATAGTTTCTAATAGAAGATACCCGAATCAAATTCTTTTTCTGGAACTATATTTCCCAGTTAAGGATTTCAAATCGTTTAATCAGGAAAATATAAACTGATTATCAATTAAGAATACCTTATAATAAAGAATAAGTACACTATTTTAAACGTGTAGTGCTGTAACATGTAGTTGTATATATATATATATATATATATATCTTATATGTATGTATTATTTCATTTAAATAATTGCATTTTGTGGGGGGCCCTAAATTTCATTTTCATTCTAGGTAAGTGACAATATTGATAAATGTAAATTTTTACTTCATCATACGAAATAAAGGTAGTATTGCAATCGCGACAAATTTCGGGTACCATATTTCAACGAAAATATCCATTTTGACAGAGTTTGAATTCATTTGAACGATGCTTTTGCGTGACATCTGTATGTACGGACAGAATAAATAACTTCTTTTCCCAAAAAGGATTGTAAAATAGATTTCAGAAGAGATCTTTTCGGGGCGTCTATACGTACGTACGTATGTATCTCACATAACTCAAAAACGATTAGTCTTAGACGTTGAAACTTTGTATATAGGACAGTAATTCTGACAAACTATATAATATGCAGTTGCGCACCTCCCTTTTTGGTTGCAATCAACCGCACCAAAATATATAAATATAGATAGAATATAGGTAGATATGTATTTTATCTTGATTAAATAATTCAGCCCAATATTTCTATTTCAGTGTTAATTGACATATATCTGTGAATATGATATACCATAATTAAGATACAATAACACGCCGAAAAATTCCCTACTTTTCATCAATTAGCTATAAAGTTGCACGTATTCCGGATACAAATTTCTGGGGGTATTTACAGGATTCCTTGCCAGTGTGGTTTAATTTACATTGTCCAAACTAAGAAAGCCTTAAAATTTCGCATTAAGCAACATGAGGAATATGTTAAAAAAAAGGAAAAAAAAAAGGTGGAAAATGACTCTTCTCTTGCCCAACATTGTTGGTCCGAAAATCACACTTTCAATTTTTCTGCTGCCAAAATAATTCAAAAAACATCTTCCATTGGTGAACTCCATTTTCTAGAGGCATTTCACATTCAAAAAAATCTTTCTTTTCTAGTTAACGACCCTAATTCCAATCCATCTTTGCCTTCAGCCTTTAAAGAAATTATGTTTTAGTTTTGGTTTCATCAACAGATGGCGCAAGTAGCTTATCTCCTGTCAAAGCCTTCTTATCTTATCTTATCTAATCATTATATCTTATCTCATTCATCTCCGCTTTTGCAGCTGAGGATGATAGTTCGGTAAAACCATCAAAATTAGTTCTGTGAAAATTTGAAAATATAATTCTGATATTTTGTTGTTTGGCTTCTAAGTTAATGATATACCATATTTACTTGGTATTTTTTCTCTCTTTTTACTTCCTTGTATGAAGTAAAGGAAGTGTTGTAATCACGAAAAATTCAGGGTATCATATTTCAATGAAAATATCCATTTTGACCACGATCGAATGTAATTTAACGATGTTTTTGGGCGGCATCTGTACTTAAGGATAGAATAAGGGACTCTTTTCCCAAAACGGATTATAAAATTGTTTCAAAATGGATTCAGAAGAGATTTTTTTCATGTCACCTATACTTACGTACGTAGATATGTGAAATGCATCTCGTATAACTCAAAGACTAGTAGCCTAGGAACGTTGAAATTTTCTAGATTGGACTCATGTAATTGCATATATATGTACCCACATTCTCTCTCTCCATAGATATTATACCTATTCTGTTACCCGCTTGGTGAGCTCAGTTTTTTTTTTTTTTTTTGTTTTTTTTTGTTTTGTTTTTTTGTTAATAAATTGAACATTTTTTGCCTTAAAAGTGATTTTAATTGTAATTTTTTACTTGATTTTAACTGCATTTGGGTTTGTTTTTATGTTTTTCCGCAATTTCAAACTTTTAATGAAGATGTTTTGAGTTTTTATGTATTTTTCCTTTGCCACAAAGTGAGAACTGAATTTATTGAATGAGAAGTATATCTCTAATGAAATTCGAAGAAATAAGTTTCAATGGAATTCAGCAAAAAATGCATATAATTCAATAGGCCGTAGAAGGAAGTCATGCGGTGCCCGCATCAGATTTTTATTTTTTTTATACTTAATAGTTTGATTGAAAATTCAAGAAAGAACCTTTTGTTCGTAATACAATATTATAAATCCACTAAAAATTCTTTAATGAGTTTTTGTTGTGTGCTTGTAATTTACTTGAAAACGCAACTTTTTTTTTATTTTTTCTAAACTCTCTGAAACTAAACATTTTTTTAGAATAATTTTAATGTACAATTTTTGACAAAATACGTTTTGCTCAAGCAAAACGGGTTTCGAAGGAAATGGATTCGCTAAGCGATGTACTAAGAATTCATTTTTTTCAGTGAAAACTGTCCATTTCATTTAATAAAAATCAACACCACTTTGGCATTCAAATATTTAGCATAAATAATAAGGAGAAATCGAAACAGGAACGACAGTGAATAGTATAAAATTACCTAATTAAAAAACTACAAAAAATACGATCGTGAATTACAGAATTAATTCGAAGTAAAAATGCAAGATTCATAATAATGTTTACCATTTGCTCAACTTAAGATTAGCATTTAAAGAGAAATAAAGGTAACAATGTCTTTCATTTTAAACCTCATAAAAGCAAGGGAAAAAAGAGAACAAAGTTTAAATTCTTCGTTACAAATTTAATACTTTACTTCCAAAAGAACAAACATTATACAGAATAGCTTTAGTAAATTTAAAATTTTTGTCATTCCTCACTACACGTTTGACTTCATTTTCTTCATATTAACCCTTTAACTGCAAACTTATTTACGCAGCTGAGTTATTTTAATTTTTTTTCTTGAGTTGACGAGGATGATATATAGTTTTACAAAAATTTCTTTCTGGCAAAATGAAACTTATTTGGAACATTTTTAACATTTTGTTTACCTTTACCCGTTCCTCTTTAATTTTAAAGGCAAAAAAATATGTCCCGAATATTTCATTTCGCTCGGTCTACTCGGCTTTAAAACGACATAAATCAAAAATTCAAAACAACACGAAAAAATAAATAATACCGCAGATTGAAGTAAACAACATTAACAACATCATTTGCTTCAAGTGGCGTTTCGTAATTAACATACCTGAATGTACGAAGTGTTGTCACATCTGGCGCCTTCTCGCCAGTTAAGAACAAATGAAATTTTCTTACTTGAAATTTGCTTTTATAATAACTTTAATAACAATAATGAAAGCTATTCTTCATAACAAGAGAAAACGGAAATAGTGGATGTCTAACAAGAAATAAGAGGGAAAAAAATAAGATTTCCAATTTACACAAAACTTCTATTATCCAGATTCCAGATGCCTGATAATCTAATTATCCGATTTATTTGCAGTTCTGTTCTTAGACGGTGCAAAATTTTATTTATAATTATGTATTTATTTTTAACTTTCTACATAATATGAAATTTCGCTGTTCTACATAATATGAAAATACAGCGTAATAAAAGACTTTTAATTGACATCAACATAGCTGATATGTTGACTGGCATGCTCTGCAAGTATGTAAATTAACTGAAAAAAAGTTGAGTACTAGACTTGGTTACTAAATTCTCGTTCTGTAAGAGAGGAATCTGTCCAAATTTTGTTCATTAAAATCATGAATTTAACATAAATTATAAATGTAAAACTTTAATGATACGTTTTGTGTGTTTAATTTTATTATTTACTGTAATAAAATACATAACAGAAATGGGTAATGCGTACAGTTTTAAGTAAATAACAATATTTTAGGAATTCATTTTAATGCAATAAATATAAATCGAGCTGAATTCGGTATTCAATAACGAACACTAATTTCTTCCAGCTTGAATGTGATGTGGACTCCGCATGCAGATTGGCCAACCATCTCACATTGGAACACAAAAGAAGAGATAAATCTTTTCCCTTTACCCTCGTGAAATATATTATTTCATTAATAATGTTGGTATATAGATAGCATGCAGAGTCAGAAAGAGAGAGGTTTGGTTAGTTTATTTAATTATGGCAAAGCATACTAGGGCTATGTGCCTAAGGGAAGGGATGTCTTCGTGGAGGACTTTCTAAGGGAAACTGGCTCGTATACACGTTACACATGGGGAAAACCACGAAAACGCCCATGCATCCAGACCGTTCGCGGGATTCGAACCTCGGACCGAACTACCAGTGTTCAGCGACTTTACCGCTCGGCCGCTGGGGGGTCTCAGAAAAAGAGAAGATGCGAAAACACGCAACTAGTTTTGTATTGAATTCCTGATCCTAAATAAAATCGATGATGCTGTACAAAGCTGTATATTTAAAGAAATTGATAAAGATTTTGCTGAACGAGTAAGTTAAAAAATATTGATTCCTTTTACACAATTTTAAATTTATATATAGGCAAGCGCCTCTTGCATCGCAAGCCCCAACACCTGGATAAAATGATTATATTTCATCAATAATAGCTAATTTCAATCGAAAATTTAAAGAAAAAAATAAAAAACGGGTACTGGGAGAAATATATAAATAATATGTATGAAATGGGAAGCGGTAAAAATATATTTAAAAAGGAGGTGTAGTTTTCTTACTTTTAGAAAGTGAAACATTTCTTTAAATTAAACTTAAAATTTCCTCGCCATTTTTAAAGCATAAGTGATTGAAATATAGTAATCAGACAACACAGCTATTGCTTTATTTATATTTAGCAATAAAGCAGTTTGTTGGTGTATAGTCAATCTCGTTATAAAAGTCATTTAGATCATCGTAATTGTTTTAAATGTGCATGCTCTTGCCTTAGCTCTGATTTAAAATATATATACTGCAAAATTTCAGAAATTATTGCTGCTTGAAGAAGAAATACACTCGTTTTGGTTTTCCAAAACGAAACTAGCTCTCATTTACGTTATACAAAGCGAAAATAAATAAATAAAAGAATCTATTGCAATCAGTCCGTGGGTACTGAACTACCAGTATTTCGAGCTATAGTCGTTGATCCGCTGGTGGAGTCGAGCGCCTATTGGAGGGCATATTATTTGTAAATACATCTGGCTGGTTTGAGAAAGACTCCTTATATTTAAAATTAGCGGCTTATTGGGTTAAACCAATTAATTAAATATATTTCAGTAGTTAGTTATTTTATAAATTAAAATATAAAATAATCTCGATTAGGATTTTAAAAAATTCGCCAATTTCGGGATTAACGCCATTTTGGCGAGTTTTTCCATCATTTTTATTCAAAAGATGTAAAAGAAAAAATGATAGCAACCCTGATGACCCGAGCAACAAGTAGTGAGTAAGGAAAGGGTAGATTTTTAATGAGTTCATTTAGACGAGTCTTTTAGCCGTCAACAGATTAAAATTTACATTAATTAATTAACGCTAGAAAGTGGAGGGGATGAAAATACGGGGGTACTGTCGACACCATGAGAGTGATTAAGCGTGAATAAATTTAAATCCTGTATAACCCATTAACACGCCGCAGCCATTTATCATAACAATTCGAGCAGAAAGCTAAAATGCGTCGTTTTTTCGTCTTTCACAAAGTTTTTTCTTCCTCCGCGAATATGACTTTTTTCTCTTCTTTTTTTAAATCTCTGTTCTTCTGAGTGTTTTGGAACAGTTGACTGAGTAAGAAAGTAAAGTGACGTAGAACTGGCAATTATCCAAATATATTTTTCCAGGCATTCTCTTTTTTTTTTTTTTTTTTTTTTTAAACATTCAAATGTTCGGCGTATTTCCAAACAATCGAAATATAGTATCTAAATGCAGTAAAGCGCTTCGAGAATTTTATCTGGGAATGGGAATACACCAGGAATGATTCCGAAATAAAGTAAGTTATTGGAAAAACTGCAAGTAAAATTTAAAATCTGAAATAAATGCTGGTAACTGTAAGCAGGACATAAGCAACACCTCTAAGCAAGCAACATTCTAGACAATATGAGAAAGAAAATTTTGCTATTAGGAGTTTTTAAAAGAAAGAAGGAAATAATGTAGGTATACACCATCACTTACATAACGCTGAAAATAAAATAAAATGTCGGAACACTTATTTAAAATGCACTACAGCAGCGGTTCTTAACCTTTTGACTAACTCGTACCATCTAAACAAAAAATAAAAAAACCTTAGTACCAGCACTATATTTTACAATGATTATTTTTCAAATTCTCAGTAGAAATATTAAAAAATATATACTTTTTGCCATTTGCACAACTTATTGACTATTTGTGTTAAATATTCACACATAAAAAATGTTAGATTAAAATTTGGTTACCATTTTAATTATCAAAATTTAAGTTATAATGCTCAAATTCTAATATTTAGTGTTAAATTTAGGTCTAATTTAGTGTTATATCAGTCCTACATACAAAATTTGAACGTTCTGAGGCTACTCGTTTTTGAGTTATGCGAGATACGTACGTACGCACAGACGCCACGAAAAATTCTCTTCAGAATTCATTTTGAAGCAGTTTTATAATTTTTTTGAAGGGAAAAGAGTCCCTTAACCTGCCCTTATATACGGATGTCATACCAAAACATCGTTAAATTGCATTCGATAGCGGTGAAAATAAATATTTGAGTTGAAATATGATGTCTGAAACTTTTCACGATTACAATGCTTCCTTTTTACTTCGTACAAGGAAGGAAGTAATAAGTGGTAGATAGGTGCATTATGGTCAGGAAAGAAGTAAAAATCACCACGTACCTAATACTTCTGACTAAAATCTGGGGAACAAGTGCAGCTATGTATTAGCTGCTTATATTATCTGCTTATATTATATTAGCTGCTCTGACCTTATAGTATGGAAGAAAATGGCACCACCACTTCGCAGATGTGCCCTTTTCTAACAGATGACTTCGCAGAATAACATAGTTGGATGCTCGTTTGTGGCATGCCGTGTTTGTATTGTACAGCTTATACATCGCAGATAAATTTTATTTTCAGTTCAACAGAGATGAAATTACGACGAAAGGACACTCAAAGAAGTACTTACTAAAGATTTCAACCAACAGGTCTCACAGTGTACGTGCCAGCAACATACTGATACGACAGGTTTTTTATAGGATTCCTGTAAAAAAGACACATAAAGTTTGAATATATTTGCATCATAATAATTCGAATAGTTAGAACATTTATTTATATTTTTAATTTAATTTTCAAATTAATATGATAAATGAGCTCAAAACTAAATTAGGATTTCGGAAAAAAAATTCTGCTTCGAATACGATTATTTGCAGAAAGCGATGATAATAATGAGCACTTATTTACATATTTATAAATATTGCATTTATCATTATTCACTAATGATTTCAACGAACATGATGTAAGTGTGATAATGTTTACTACTTCTATATACACATTTTCTTACTGAAGAAAAAATTCTGATATTTTTTACCTCAAAAATTTAGTTTCAGCGGCTTTAATTCAGAATATGTCAGTTAAATTCTCTGGCGATTATTGCTAAAGTTTCTGAGTTCGAGAGTTTTTATACTAACAGTATGAGTATCTTGAAATTGATGAGAAATTCAACTACGAAGCAAAGGTAAATATTCAGTGGAAAATATGCTGCCAAAAAATTTCAGTACTGGAAGCAAAGAAAGTTGTAGGAAACTCTAATGAAATATTTTTTATTCCTTCATGCAATGCTGTTGTCTCACAATTTCCCAAGCAACTGCCTTGCGTTATTCTTACCATAACATTAGCAATTGTCTGCGGCGTTATTCTTGCCATTACACCGGCGTTAGGTTCGAGTCAACTTGCTCGTATTCTTTCTATGTATCCTTTGGCTAATTTACAACTTAGTTAAATTTTGAATTAATTATTTTTGACTTATGCCATAAATTCTGGCTGACACTGTCAGCACAAACAGTGCTTTCTGTAGAATTACTGAGTTTAATAAATGTGTCTTTTACACCCCTTGCACGTCTCTGTACAATTTTAAAGATGTAGCGAGAATTCGCTTATGACTTACAGAGTTTCAAATTAGTTTATAGTTCTAAAGAAGAAGAAATTCTGAGTGAGCACACTCCGATGGACAGAATCCAGGAGTCTCCTAACCCTGTTTCTCTACCGCTAACTTCTCTCGAAGATTTTCAGCTAGATGGTATTTTAAGTGCACCATGCCGCAAACACAATGCATTTACAAATACCCGTGCCTTCTGCAGGATTCAAATTTGGGCCAGCAATATGACAGCTAGCCCCACTAACTACTGTACAAACCATGATGACCATCAACAGTTTTTATGAACCAGTTTATAAAACATTCATTTACAACATATTATATCAACTGTTTTTATAAAACATTCAACATTTATGATTCAACATCATTAATGGCCATATGCATATACAGTAAGACCCCGCTTAACGCTGTTTCGTTTAGCGCTGTTTCTGTTTAGCGCTCTTTTATTTCAACCCGGGGATTCCACGAAATCGCTCGCAGCATACGGGGATTCCCCGAAATATTATGCAGCGATAGGTTTCAAATACATATCCGAAAGAGTGTACTTGTATTTCTTGTTTGGTGCGGTATTGTACAGACATATTTTGAAGGGGTAAATGTGGAAGATGTCGAAGAAATAATTCAAGAAGCAGCGGCTAGTCTTTCTAATGATGAGCTCAAGGAAATTAACTGAACAAGAAGAAAACAAAAATGTTGACAGCAGTGATTCAGAAGAAGAGCAAAATGAACTTTCGATGGCGTTTGTAAAAAGGAGTTTGTCTACCATAACTGAAATAATGGATCAATTCATTGAAAATGATCCGAATTTTGACAGGAACTCAAAAGTAAGGCGTGGTGTTAGAGATGCTCTATCCGTTTGTGAAGAACTTTTAAGAGAACAACGCAAAAGGAAAAGGCAAACAACATTAGATACTTTTGTCACAAAAAGGCAGAACACTGAAAACGCGGAAGGCTAGCTAAATATGACTGACTGAGAATTTTATTTGTTTTTTTTTAAGAATATTCGTTTTGTTATTTATATTTTGTTTTTATTTTTGCAAGAAATAATAATGTGGTATTAATTTGGGCTTTAAGAAATAAATGTTTGGTTTTATTTTTATTAAAAAAACATACTTTTTAAATTTAATACCTAACCAATTTCCTAGCCATCTTCCCCTAACCCCAATATTTTACATGTAAAGATAGCTTCGTTTAGCGCTGTTTCGCATTACGCTCTACTTTGATGGAACGTATCCCCCGCGTTAAGCGGGGTCTTACTGTATATTTCATTGTCTAATTAACATTAATAGTGTGCCATCCTATTTTTCCATCAGTTCATTCGTTCTATTTTTTCATCAGCTCTTGCTGAGACAACAGTTGTGTTTTTCTAGTGTATTTTTCTAGCGATGTACCTTCGGTAAGGCCAACCATGCGTAATTTAATGCATCGTACATAAAAAAATGCAATACTTCTTACGGTCAAATTGTAAGATTATTATTTAAATTAGTCAGTTATTTATAACTGTAGTCATTCATTACTATAACTTCATCTTTCAATTTCGTCACCAGAATGTAAATTAGTTAGGTAGTTATTTAAATGAGCGTGCTTCTGAATTCCGCGAGCACATAACGTTTAGTTCTTGCCAACTTTAATAGTTGTATATTCCGCTTTGTGTTATTTAGCTGTCGACAAATTGATTTTGACGCTCCACTTCGAATTATTGAGCCACCTCAGAGTAGGCTTAAATTGTGCAGTCTTTGACTACTCTTCCATTCTTTAACTTGAATTTAATTATTTCTGTTTAGTTGCCTCATACCGAGTTGCTGATATTGTTAACACAAGAACATGCATTTATATTCTAATTTCTGTTTAATGGAAAAGGTTATTAAAACCGTTTCAAAGTTTGTAGTTTCTTTAAACGTACACTTCCCGTCTGATGGGGTTAATAGTTCCAGATCAAGAAAAACTCATAAACTGTTCAGTAGTTTATTGCATTGGACCTAAAACTGTTCTTAAAAGCTTTTTTTGTCTTGATTAGAATCTCATAAAGTAAGGGTCTTCAACCTTTCATGCCCGAGAGCCACATTAATAAATTCACAAAGATCCGCGGGCCACGTGTCTGTCAAAAAAAATAGTGCAGTCAGAAAATTTATATAAAAACGGGGAGAGGTTTCTTTTACAAGACTATAATTGATTCTAAGCGAAGAGATAGTGTTACAGATTTGTATATGTATACATTGGTTCCAAAAAAGTCAATCCTAAAGTCGGAAATGGAATTAAAATGTTTTGCAACTTTTTTTTAACTATGGGAAAAAAAAAAAAAAGATATAAAGATGACTGTACAGAACGATATTACAAAATGCGTTTACAATGAAATAAATAAATAAATAAACTCGCATTACTGGCGAGAGAGGGTGGTTACTTTGGTTTCAATGTGAAATTTTTTGCTTGATTAAAGCTTCAATATCCGGCTTAATCTGTGTTGTTGCAATTCGTAAAAGTTTCCTCCAAATGTCTGTATTTCAGCCGTGTTCTTGTTTTTGATTTTAGAATTTTCATTTTACTAAAATGCTGTTCACATATGTAGGCACTGCCAAAAATAAAAGACATGAAGACTGCATGTTTACGAATTACTTGCCTTCCGTCAAGTATTTCGTATAAAAATTAATTAATGTAGGATTTTCAAGAAACTTTCATTTTACTACAGAGTCACGCTGTAAATTCTAATTGAAGTTCAGATGGAACACATGTTACATAAGATAAACTGAAATTTTTGAAAAATTCGTCATTTTCAGAAAATTTCTCATCTCAAATAATAACAGGCATGTCAATAAAATGTTTTAAATATCAAGAATAAGAGAAAAGAAAGTAATTTTTTACGACAAAAAGCTGATAAGGCAATTTTTCTTGAAATCAAAATTTCATAAAAAATTGTCCACTTTTCTTCAAATTCAAATGTGGGAGGCCACTAAAATACATTCAGCCATTCAGCGGACCACCCGTGGCCCGCGGTTGGGGGTGATAGGGGTATATGATATGGTAGGGGTCTTCAACCCGCGGGCCACGGGTTGAAGACCCATATCATAAAGCAAACTTTTAATTATTAATTTTTATTAAAACAAATTTTATTGTGGGTAATTCCGTATGCTTTCATTTTTATTAATTAGGTAATCTTTTATATTCCGAAGTGAGTGCTTACCATGCACACAAGACATTTGACGTCGACACTGGAGCACGGATTTTCATCGGAATGACTTTCGGTACGTTGTCGACGAGAAGAGTCACCGTAACCTGAAGACTGACAGGATCCGACGTCCAGACTGTGGAACGAAGTGGAGTTTAATGGATACAAGACATATAAAACAATGAATGAAGTAAAATATTTTTAATTTACGATTTAATTAAAATTTTGTAAAACAAAACCAATAAAAATAGCCATCTGAATTTCACACAAAAGTAAGACATACGTTAAAAATATTTAATAAACAAAATTATTAACTAAAAAGTGTATTATGCTGTAAAATAGAGTTGTCAACAACCTATGACTAAGAGTGATAGTTTGCTGTAAATATTTAAATAAAAACTAATAAGATGAAATTAAATATATGAGATGCAGTTTATGATCCATCTGTTGGTGAAATCAAGAGCTGATCAGCTGGAGATAACTATTTCATCTAGCATCTGGCATGCAAAAAAATGTTTCATTCACATTGACTCATCCATTGCTTTTTAATTAAAATCAAATTTGTACGCGTATAAATGAAGGATTTTTACAGGATTTTTTTACTTCAAAAATTTTTAAATTCATTATATCTATAATTTACTTATGATTATTGTGCAACAATCGTAGCCTTGTAAGTTATTTTCTTCCTTCTTTCAGCATGCCTTCGTGGGGTAACGGTAGCACACTCGGCGCATATTGAAAAGGTCCGGGTTCGAATCCTGGGGAGGGCATTGCCCATTTTTCATTTCTCTGCTACAAAAAAATCCTAATGACTCTACAGCATCTGAATGTCTTCTGAATTAATGGTATATATCCGAATAAATTGTTTATATGCATATATATATATATATAACTAAGTAAAATTACGTGTCTGTTTTTAGCCCAAAAGGCGTTAGCGCAGAAAGGTTATTAATTTCATTTTGGCAATTTGCGTTGAAAACTTTAAATGTGGGTTCACTTTTGAAATTGTTGCCCCAAATATTACAGTCCTGTATTATATTTAAAGAAATTAAATAATGAAGAATCTGCATAAAATGTATGTATGTTTCTCGCATTGTGATAAAACGTCGGTACCTAGAGTCATTCATTTTTGAATAACGTACTTTCCCGAATATGGGCATCTGGAAGCCCAAATTTAAAATTTAGATTTTTTAGTGCAAAGGGATTTGATTCCCGAAGGACTATTACTTTCGTTTTGGAATTTTGCGTCGAACTCCTATAAATGTCGGTTCACTTTTCAAACTGTTGCAACCAAATGTTAGAGTCCTGCATTGCATTTGAAGAAATTAAATAATGAAAAAATCTGCATAAATGTATATATATTTCTCGCATTGTGATAAAACAATATCTAGAGCCATCCAATTTTGAATGATGTAATCCTACTGCTAACATGGGTATCTGAAATCCCAAATTTGAAATTTGGATTTGGTTTTATGATCGAATTCCTATTTTGTAAAACTTTAAACGAATTTTTGATTAACAAACTCAAGGATTTCAAAGTGAGCTATGGCAACACTCCACGGGGGGGGGGAACCTCATTATCTCCAGCGCATCGAACTGTGTATCGGAAATTTTAAAGATAGGTTCATTTTAAAATTATTTTGCAACATTGCTATTGAACTGAATTTTATGGTTTAAGTGCAAAGAACATGATATTTAATAAATAAAGTTAACACAGTTTTTTTTTCTTATGTTCAAAAAGAACTTATTCACTTATGATTCACTTGTTCATTTGAGCCCACTGCTGGCCGAGAGGTTGAGACCACGGAATACTGGTATTTTGAGCAAATTTCAGATCCCGGGGAACGAGCTGGCTGAGTACTGGTTGTTTCATTAGTAATTTGTAAATGATCCAATTTCCCACAAAGTCATACCTTCCCTTACTCAAAAAGATTTAGTACGCTTTGACGTATTTTAAATAACCTAACCTAATGAAACGCTTATCTGTAACAAATCTCTAAATACATCAAGAAAATTATTACTCATGATAAAACACTTCATGTGAACAGAACTGCAAGAATTTCATTTTCACTTAGAATAAATTTGTATCAATGTAGTAAATGCAAAAGATTATAACTTTTTTTAATCTTTGGAGTCACTAAGGGATGGGTCATATTGGATTACGGCAAAGTATGCGAAGAAGCTTTGTCTAAAAGAAGTGATGCCTTATTGGATGACTCTTTAAGAGGAATGGTTGGTATACTCATTACATATTACACATAAGGAAAACAATGAAAAGTCCCATCCATCAGCCGAAGCAATACCTATACCAATATTTACTCCAAAATTAAATTTCTTAGATATTTATTCATAAATCTTCAGCTACTCGTTCACTTTACTAAAAACAGAAAAGACCACTTTGGGACCTTTTTGTTTTTTAAAACAAGAAAATAACAGAAAAATAATTTTGAAGCTCAGTTTCTTTTTGCAATTTTTCAATTACCATATTTCACAAATTCTTAAAGGAACACAAGCAACTCTTCTAACAAATTCATTTTTCCAAGTTCTGATAATTTTCGGTGACATTAGAAATTTCAAATTTTCGGGGTATTTCGAAATTTCTGTCTTTTTACGCACCGCGATCGAATTATCTCTATTTTCGCGAATTCAAATTTGTAATGATCGCTTATGTTCTTTCACTCTTGCTTCTATATTATTCTGCGCGAATGTTCATTGCGTACACTGGAATGCAACCGAAATAATTTTGAGGTATCATTCAGAATTTCGTTTTTTTTTTTTCAAAACGCAGCAGATAATTACGTGAAACATATTGTTGCATTTTTTTCACATATTATAGTCATTCTTTTGATCAGTAGTTGATAACAAAAAGTAGAGAATAATTATTAAAGCAATATTATTCTTTTCTAAAGAATTAACTTACTTGTTGAAGCCATTGCATGAGCTGTCCGCTAATTCCCCCGTCTTATTTTGATCTAGAAAATAAAGAAAAAATAATAATTGTATATATCTAAACTATTTTACATTTTTAATTGCATAAAATTAAGCGAATTATGAAAAAAAAATAATTATAAAATAGCATATTACGAAAAACGTGAAACCATCAATTCATTAAACCTTATTTCATACGATTTGTATTATTATTATTCTTAATAATTGATTTTAAATTAGGCTATATATTTTAAATATTTATTCTCTCTCTCTCTCTGTATATATATATATATATATATATATATATATATATATATATATATATACGCATACACATACACAAGGGTTGGAGGATTAAATTGAAATACTTAGTGAACGTAGTACTCAATTTCAAGCCAACAATTGTGCGCTTCCGTTTAGGAAACTTGAATAATTTCGAATTTTGTTAATAGAAGCAGTGTCAAGCGCAAATTTTCGGCAGTATTAGATGTACTGACTTCAGTTATCGAGAATTATAGGAGACCAAACAGAAGAGATTAGAGTAAAAAGAAGAACAAATGGTTTATTCACGTTTAGTTTGCGTATATCTTGTCAAGGCAGCAGATGTTTCTGACGTATCCGGAGCTACAGTGTCCAGAATTATGCATTTGCATCTAGAAAAGAGAAAACTTTCATCCGTTTGAAGTAATTTCTGAGGTAAGAAGTTTTCTGGAAAGGATATTAGAATGCTAAAACATTTGCATAAAGAAACATTAATAGTGATTATTTGAATTGTAGAATTCTCCTGAACTCGCTTATGCTAGCGCTGGTTTTAATGGTATAAGGAGAAAAAAAAATGGTGTGCACAGTACAAAACATGCATCGTTAGGGCGGGTGCCAAAACCGGTGAAACCCGTGCAACCGCACCGGGCAGCATAATTTAGGGACAGTAAAATTTTTACAATTTAGGAAGAAACCAGGCAGTCAAAGTTCGGAGTCACGTAGTTTGCAATGGGCAGCAAAAATCTAGCGCCGGCCTAGAGTATGATTCAGCGATTAATCCATCTTCATGAACCTTTCCCACTTTTGGAAACGTTTATGTGGGAAAAGCTCTTTCAGAAATTCTTATAATCCACATTGTCACAAATTCAGTTAGAAAAATGGATGGGGAATACTGTTAGTTTAGAAATCGCAAAAGTCTCTGATAACACTTATTGTATTTGGTGGTCACACTGCTGGTAAGCGTTACCGTTGTATTTTGAAGGACTTGTCTACCAGTTTCATAAACGTTGTATATCGGAAAAGTTGCTTATATGAGGACAGCAAAGTACCAGTTTTCATTATTCCACCTGTCACTTCATGAAGAACACGAAAGCGAGCTTGAACATATCCTCAGAGCTTCCATAGCCTCAGAGTATCAATAGCATAATCTCAAACACGTCGAACTTGTCTGGAATTATGCTGTAGCATGCAAGTGGGAAACAGGTCCTTCCTCCAATATCATGAAGTAAAATAAAGACTGCTATGCAAAGAAAATAGCTAAAAATACTTTAATGACTTTAAAGACTTGTACTGACCGTTCCCGTAAAGAATCATTGCAACCTCTATCTCTAAAAGTTTACGTACACCGTAAACTATTACGGCTAATAAGCACGTGTTTTTAGTTTCATTGTTCAGTTCCTGTATGGATGTGTAAGATTTATGTTAATTAACCCAATATTTTATTATTTGATCGGTACTATTGTAAGGATCTTAAGTTTTACTAACGTTTATTTTATTTTAAATCTTTACTATCACTTCTTATTTTCTACTTCCGGCCAGAATTATAAGCGTGAAGGAGTTTATGCAAAGTTGTCTGGCGAACGCCAAGTATTTAAGTGTGGCCTTTTTGCCAAGCAGAGGAGAGGAAGCCGTGAGTTCGAAGCAGGCCGCTTACCTTAGAAGTTACGCAGTTGCTACTTTGCCTTCCAGGCCAGAGGTTTTAATCCTCTTGATAAATTAAACGTATTGTAGTGTTCACAGTCTCTGTGCTACATACGCTTCCTGTTATTATAAGGCCAATCTTATTCTAAAGTTAAATTAGAGTTTAGTTTTATTTTGATATCTTTTAAGTTAGACCCCGAGTGGAGGGTCATTGTATTCCGAAGTACGGAAGTCATTGTATATAAAGAAAAAATAAAGGGTTTTGTATACCCTTCGTCTGTATCCTGTCTACTTACTACAATTAGTGAACATAGCTTTAGTAAGCTCTCTGTTCTAGTCAGGTCATTGTATGTTGTTTCCGAAGAAGGTTAAGAAGAAACATTGAACCTGATAGTGGCGCCCGACGAAGAATAACCATGGCCGAGTTTCAAGAAGAACCTGTGCTGCCTGCAGAAACAGCTCAGAATCCAGAAATGCCAGCTGCCGCCCTGGAAGGATTTGGGTATATTGTCCAGACCATGCGCGCTTCGATGAAACCAGAAGCAACGTTTAATGGAAACTCACAGGTAACCAGTTTTTTTGGAAAAATTGGATGACCACTTCATGCTCTACCCCGTGCACGAGTTTCAAAAAGTTACCTTAGCTACCAGCGCTTTGAGGGGCCAAGCGCTTAACTGGTTCAAATGTATCGGCAGAAGTCTCTTGGGTCAAGCAGGAAGTCCCACCTATACCTACGAAAATTTCAAGACTGCCCTACTAAAAGCCTTCCCTGTTGTAAGGGATCGTGCGAAATTAGAAACAGAACTTTTCAGTATATATCAACAAAGAATGGAAAACCTCTCGAGGTTTATTTTAAGAAAAATTCACGTTTTCAAGCTCTTGTATGGAAACCGTCCGGATCCTGAAATAATTCAAGTGATTTTGCCGAGGTTACTACCCCAAGTGCAAGACTTTATTGAATTGAGAAATCCGACTACACTGGAAAAATTATTTGAGCTAGCAATCCAGTTTGAAAGTAGAAGAACGGCGGACGTCGAAAGAAGACGCCAATATCAACAGCGAAACCAATTTGGTACGCCAAGACTACAGCAAACTCAAGCACATGGCTACGGAGAAAAAGCGAATCAGTGGGCAAGGAAACCCGAGCATTCAAAAACAGCCGGCGAACGTCGACAGTTCAATAGCAACCCAGGAAAAAAGTCTCAAGGCCAGTGGAGAAAGAAGGAAAGCACCGAAAGAAAAAATAATTTAAACTAAAACGGATTTCTGCTGACGAGAGGGTGCGGAAATCCGAAGGCCACGAAAACCCCTCTTCCTACAAGTTAAATACAGTAATGGTGAAAAATTTAACTCTTCCGAAGATTGAAGTCTTGGTAAATAATATCCCGGCCACCGCACTCCTGGATACCGGCGCGCAGTGTTCCTGTGTGGCAGAAGTCTTTTTTAGAAAGTATTTTCGCAAATACCGCATATATAATGCGGATAATACAACAGTATTAGCGGCGCAAGGAGAACAATGTAAGTGCGTAGGTAAAGTACCTTTGTACATCCGTATCAAGGACGAACAAGTAAAGGTGATGTTTTTTATAGTAAAGAATTTGCAAGCACACTTAATACTAGGAATAGACTTTCTTTCAGACGCACAAGCTACACTGGATTTTAATGAAGCGTCTCTTAAGCTGACGATGAAACCAGTGCGTGTAGAAAAGGTTGAACCGCCAAGGGTAAATCTCGACCACCTGCCTAATGACGAGCAAGATAGAATCCGACAAGTGGTAAGTGAATTTGCTTCCTTATTTAGTGATATTCCAGGATTTACCCAGGTTACTAACCATAGTATTGACACCGGAGATGCATTGCCGGTTCGTCAAAAACCATACCGGTATGATAAGAATAAGGAAAAAATTATAGAATGGCATATTACCGATATGCTACGTAAAAAGATCGTAACGCCTATCTCAAGTAGTTATGCTAGTCCGGTGGTTTTATGTAAGAAAAATAATGATTATCCTTTGGAGCATCCAAAAAGGTGGAGATTCGCTATTGATTACCGTAAATTAAATTCCATAACGAAATATCCGGTATATCCGTTACCGATTATAGAAGAAATTTTAAGGAACATAAAATCAACCAAATTTATGACAACTTTAGACTTAACGAATGGTTATTTTCAAATAGGGATCAGGCCTGAGGACGTGCCTAAGACTGCTTTTATAACCAAGTCTGGCACTTATGCATTTTTGCGAATGCCGTTTGGCCTTTCAGGCGCCCCAGCAACATTTCAGCGATGCATGGACATTGTGTTAAGACCTGTTCTCGGAAAGTCCACATTTATCTATTTAGACGATATCATTATTACTAGTGATAATCTAGACCAACATGTACAGGATTTAAGACGGTTGTTTTCTTTATTAAATGAGGCCGGTCTAAAAGTTAATGTCGAAAAATGCAAATTTGCAGCCCCTGAATTAAAATATTTAGGTTACAAAATATCGCAAAAAGGGATCGAGACAGATGAATCAAAAATAATCGCTGTACAAAAGTATCCGACTCCAAACACGGCAAAGAAGCTCTCTTCTTTTCTAGGACTTTGTTCATATTATAGGTCCTTTATAAAAGATTTTGCGGCTATCGCTGAGCCATTGTTAAAATTAAAAAGGAAAAAGGCAAGATTCTCGTGGACGGCCGAAGCCAATAGTGCTTTCGAAAAATTAAAACAAGCATTAACGCAAGCCCCTGTGTTGAAATTTCCTGAAAAGGATGAAAATTTAGAAATTTCAGCGGATGCTTCGGATTATGCGGTAGGAGCGGTACTTTCGCAAAATCAGCAGCCAGTAGCATTTTTTAGCCGAACTTTAAATCAAACACAAAGAAACTATTCCGCGACCGAGAGAGAGAGGCACTTGCAGTTCTGTTAGCAGTGCAAAAGTTCCGAGTCTATTTTGGAAAGGCGCCGATAACAGTGTATATTCTGATCATGCGGCGGTAACTAGATTGTACTCTGGAAAAAATTTATCCCCAAGGTTAATAAGATGGGCACTCAAGCTGCAAGAATATAATCTGGTAATCAAGCATACCCCCGGAAAGGAAAATATCGTAGCAGATGCCCTGTCACGAATTAAATTAGACGAACAGGGTAATACCGTAAAAGTTGCAATGCTGACAGCGTGTACAATAAATTCCCGAGAAACTGTAATAACCGAACTGGGTAAGGATCCTGAGTTTGGAAGTATTTATGAGTATTTGAAGGATCCTGAAAATTTTAGCCACCAAGATATTGTGGCGATAAGAAATAGGGCGGCCCATTACGAACTAATAGATGGTCTATTATTTTATACAAAAACTACGAATTCCAACAACGAATTTCGACCTGTTATCCCAGCTAGTCTTAGATTAAATATCCTGCAAGAGCTCCATGACAGCCCTTTAGCTTCTCATGCTGGTATTCGAAAAACTACTCAACGCGTACGCGAGGCAGTCTACTTTCCTGAACTGCAAAAGTTAACAAGGGCGTATGTCCAGTCCTGCCCAACATGTCAAGCCGTTAATTATATTAATTTCCGCCCGGCCGGGTTTCTAAATAGTATTAAATCCGAATTTCCAAATGAAATAATCGGCATCGATTTATTGGGCCCTTTCCCAAAAAGTCAGTTAAACAAAAGTCGCTATCTCCTTGTTATAGTTGATCATTTTAGTAAATGGACCGAAATTGTTCCCTTAAAACGAGCCTCCGCGAAATTAGTTACCGATTCTATTTTAAATAAATATATTTTAAAATACGGGGCGCCCCTAAAAGTTATATCGGATAATGGTCCTCAATTTGTAAGTAATATATTTGAAGACATGTGCCAAAAACTGGGCATACGTCATTTAAAAATGGTCCCGTATCGGCCGCAATCAAATATAGCGGAACGGGTCAACAGAAATATAGTGAAAATTATCCGTAGTTATGTTAAAAATTTTCATAAAAGCTGGGATAACTATGTCAATGAATTTGCTTTCGCCCTTAGGACCGCAAAACATGATACAACGGGAAAAACTCCTGCTGAGTTATTTCTAGGCAGAAAGATTATAACACCGTTAGATAAACTATTTTATGTGCAACAAAGAGCCCCAGAATTTAAAATGGGTGATATAGAAAAACTAATAAAGCAAAAAGAAGCAAAAAAGAATACAGAAGTAGCACAAAGAAAACAAAAATTGTATTATGACTTGAAACGACGGGGAGTAACTTATAAAGTAGGGGATGAAGTACTAAAAATTAAGCATTCACTTTCTTCAGCACCAGAAGATAAAACTGCCAAATTTTTCCCACGCTTTGAAGGACCATATGTTATAGAAAAAATAACTCACGCTGTTGTAGTATTAAAGGCAAGAAATGGTGAAACCTGTTCCGCAAACATTGACCAGATAAAACCATTCTATGACCGTAATAAAATGCAAATCTTTTCAGATCTTTTGCAGGATCCGGTACGGCAGACACCGCAGGTACAAGTTCCAGAGGTGGGAAAACGACAAGTACAAGGGCAAGCCAATGAGAGACAGAAGCAAGTGAAAAGAAAATTGCCCCGCGGAAAAATTGAAGGTACAAAGAAAAAGAAGCCGTTCCACCGTCCAAAAAACAGAGTTCACGAACACCCCCAGAATGAAGAAGGGAGAAGGACGACGTATGTGGAAAAGACCGGGAGAAAGGACGGCAACTATAACCCGGCTGTGAAACGGAAGATTGACTCATCCGACAGAACTCTCCGCAGCAAAAGTCGCCGAACTGCGGAAGGGCCATCAGCGGCGGAGGAAAAAGTACAAGAAAAATTTGAACGGCCAACAACGAGGTCCAAGCAGGATCACGACAGAAGTTTCCCGGTTCCACCAAGACCAGCTGCCTTCAAACGGCCAAGACCACAAGCAGAGGACAGAAGGAAGATGTTCAAGGGTGGCCGTAGTGGTGAAAAACGGAAGCTTCCAGAGGAAAGCACTGAAGGGCGAGCCCGTACAAGAAGGAGGATCAACCAAGCTACGGTCTGCAGCACCTTTAAAGACTGGGCCCAGAAAAGGATGTCTGAATATTACAAAGATAAGTAAAATTTTGTGTTACTTTACAAACTTAAGTTAATCTTTCATTCTTCTTACTGCAAGTGGCAGATTTGAAGAAGTTTTACCTCATGCGAGGTCTACCTTTATCGCCAAAAGGGCGAGAAATGAGTTGTGACCGATTTTCTTATTATATGTTTTTCAATTACTCGCGCGTAAAACTAAAGTTGATGTATAATAGCGTTGTATAAAGACTTAAATATTGTAAAAAGTTATTGTATAAATTTTATTTAAAACATTCTAACAAGAAAGAAGTTTTAGTCTGAAAGACTTTTTGAAATGTAGTATTATTTCAATGTAGAAAGAATTGGCACTTGCTTTGAAAAGAATAGAAGTTAACAATGTACTACTAATGTATGTTTTCAAATGTGTAAAATTAACGGCGGCATCTTGATATGTTCTTGTATACATGTGAACTGTTATTTTGAATGTTTAGAAATACCGTGATATGGTAAAAGTGAAAGTAATGTTAAAAAATTTGTTATTCGTGTGACTGTAAAGATTAAATCATGGTGAATATGTGTTAAAGGTTGAATGATGTAGTTAGGCTCTCTGACGCTACACTTTAGAGTTAGCCACTTTCAGAATAGTACCTCAGGGTCTAGAGTTGAAATTAGGGTGTGTTAAGAGGTCTCGTATGTTGAATTTTAACACGTTAGTGTTTTGATTGTAGGAGGAAGTGTTGAACACATAGACAGAAACACATTCGTGTTTGGTGTTTTTTACAACACATGTCAGAGAGCACGGGGAGAGATAATTAAAATAGTCATGAATGAAATAAGAATGTTAAGAAAAGTATATTCTATATGTTATTTGCAATGTCATTCTGTAACATTTCATTAAACTAGTTTTCCTTCCAGATCTCTGGAAGGAACCAGAATTGAATAAAGCTCCTGTTTTGATGCAGTACAGATGAAAAAGAAAAAAGATTGTTTGTATATTCCGGGAGCTGCTATTGTAACAAATTTCTTTCTTTTAAATTTTCTAGTTTCTAGCTAAGTTATGTTTGTAAAAGTTTGGCCTCGCGTTAGTTTCTAGAGCTAAAAGTTTTCAACAAGGTCGTTTTAGACCTCAGTTTCAAACTAATTAACTCTGGCGGGAAGTATGTAAGGATCTTAAGTTTTACTAACGTTTATTTTATTTTAAATCTTTACTATCACTTCTTATTTTCTACTTCCGGCCAGAATTATAAGCGTGAAGGAGTTTATGCAAAGTTGTCTGGCGAACGCCAAGTATTTAAGTGTGGCCTTTTTGCCAAGCAGAGAGAGGAAGCCGTGAGTTCGAAGCAGGCCGCTTACCTTAGAAGTTACGCAGTTGCTACTTTGCCTTCCAGGCCAGAGGTTTTAATCCTCTTGATAAATTAAACGTATTGTAGTGTTCACAGTCTCTGTGCTACATACGCTTCCTGTTATTATAAGGCCAATCTTATTCTAAAGTTAAATTAGAGTTTAGTTTTATTTTGATATCTTTTAAGTTAGACCCCGAGTGGAGGGTCATTGTATTCCGAAGTACGGAAGTCATTGTATATAAAGAAAAAAATAAAGGGTTTTGTATACCCTTCGTCTGTATCCTGTCTACTTACTACAATTAGTGAACATAGCTTTAGTAAGCTCTCCGTTCTAGTCAGGTCATTGTATGTTTCCGAAGAAGGTAAGAAGAAACATTGAACCTGATACTATCACTTCTTATCTATACTTTATATTTATTTTCATCAGCTGTTATCAGAATGCAAATTAGCTGTGTGTATATAAAAGCACAGTTCTTAGAAGTTAGAAAGAGCTTTGGCAGCGACGTCTTTTAGCCGTTTGCTAATCTAATTTTCTCCCACAATTATAATAGTTTGAGTCAACTTTTGAAAGGAGTTTTTTCTTTGTGAATTTTCGGTGTTAAATTACTTTAATTTTTAATTTACATTTAATTACATTACATCTCACAACCGGCGAAGTTTGTTTTGTAAGCACAACTAGGGACAAGTTTAATCAAATCAGGGAGTGGCATCTTACAAATATGTATGTGCATTTATATATATATAAAAAGAGAGAGGCAGAGAGAGATGCATATTTTTCATATTTAGGTACCACCTTATTTTCATTGCTTTTATGTAGGAAAGAATTTCATAAGTAAATTTCAAAGTCGAAGGGAAATTGTATAATAAATGGTTAAGTAATTTAGGTTCAATGGTAACGATTGTTATAATACATTTTCAGGACTACTTTTATATTATACTTTTCTGCCTATTTATTGTCAAATGATTCTTTTAGTCCCACTAGCAAGACCTGACAAGTGTGCAGTGGTAAAAGCTAAATCTATATTAATATTGTACATTACACCTGAATAAATATTTTATTCTGAAAAGGATAAAACATCGTAGTTTATTAAATACCCAAAAGAAACAAAAGTTTCTGAAATGTCCACAATTTTATATTACATTTCAAAACGCGGCAAATATTTTCGGCCCCAAATTTACTTCTGAATTCATTTTAATGAAATGTTTGTAAAGTAAGGCAAAAGGGCTCTAAAACGTTCATTAAAAAACAATGTATTCTCTGTAAGGGATATCGTTAGTTTACTTCACAGGTTCATTAAAATATAAACAGACCTTCATGGTAGCTTTCATTATTTGATCCTTGAAGAACTTGCCCTTGATAGAGAGGAACATTTCTGCTAAATCTTTTATTAAAGAAATAATGAAGAAATGTATAATGAATAATTATTTATGATTTCACCTTAATTATTTTCTTTCGTAGGAAAATATAGATTAAATAAATCTCTGAGAATTCAGAAAAAAGATTTTCGGTATGTTCTCAAAATGACGTTTTAGTAATTTTTAAAGACAGACTATTATTTACAATTAATTCTTTTCATTTTCAAAATTTTGGAATTCTACTTTAATACAGTGAAGTATTGGGAAGAAGGAGAAACATTCAGTTGCCTTTCAAATAGTGCTCTTTGAAATACGCTGGATGAAACAGACTTGCAGTGATTTTTCAGTACTGGAATATTTTTTTTTCTCTGACAGGGAAACAACTGAACAAAACGGAAAAAAATAATTTTTAAATAAATAAAATGTAAAATCTGAAATAAAATGTACATTTTTTTAGCTGTTAGGATTTAGGGGTTAAAGTTAATCATTTATTCCAAAATTAAAGCCACTTTTTTCTTCCCGGCCACTTTTTTCTTCCCGGCAACCTATATACATAGAAAAAGATAAATGTTTTAGGTCTAAAAATTCGAGTGAGTTTTCAGTGAATAAACACGAACATGTTTTTATTATTTTTATAGTGACATCTGTCTGCGTATGAGGATTTTTTGTTCACGATTACTCTTACATCAAAGTTCCAAAAATTTCTGTTTTCTTTATTTCATCTCTCTGGATTCATATAAAGTGATTAGATTTCTGGAAAAACTGGGCAACAGGAAGTGTTACTTTACGTGAAGCGCACAATAGTTTTAATGAAAAATCGTATTAAAGCATAATTCCAGACTTTTCAAGTTTAGCTTTTAAAACTGTTACATCAATGGGGACATCATATTAGATTTTAGCCAAAATTGATCAACCGGGAGTTATAGTTTACTTAAAAGCTCTGAACAGATTTTTGGGAAAAAATATATGATGATGATATCCAAAACTTCTCAAATTTTGTATTTAAAATTCGTATATGCATATATCATATACAATCATGATTGAAAACAATATATTAGGTTTTGACTATTTACGATGAACTGGAAGTGGCACTTTAATTGGAAGATTTTCATCGAAAAATATTGTACAGGTTTGTAATGTATTGAATCTGCTAAGAGATTTCCAGTACCTTATTTCTTGCTAGGAGGCATATACAATTACACACAGTCGCAGTTATATAGGGATCGGACAAAAATGTCGCCAAATGGTCGTCAAGTTTGGAGATTTTTCACCAATATTGGCAAAATATATTAAATAACTATATTAAATTACTCTAGTTAACATAATTTTAAAATTCTTATAAAATATAACAAATATTACGAAAAAAAAAAAAACAGGAAGGAAAAAGAACTAAAACTTTTCAAAAGAGGAGAGTATACTTTTGACCATTTCGTGTCAATTAGAAATTAATAAAAGTAATACTAACTTTCTCACAAAAAATTTTTTAGTTAATGCGTTATTTTCTCTAGGGACTATGATATTTCCCTAGGACAAATTTTTATAAATTAACGTTATGAATGAGTTTCGGCTGTAAATATATGCAAAAGGATACGCTTCCGAAGAGTAGTTTTCTGCAGTTAGGCCTGAATTTCCTTCAGCCCTGTGAGCTAATTGCTGCACTGCAAAAGAAATTTATGAAATGTTAAAAGTATTAAATGAAATATTAAAGAACTTTATGAAATGTTAAAAGCATTAAATGAAATATTGAGGTTAACAGTAAGTAAGAAAGCACAGAAGTTTATAATTTCTTATGCGTAGTTTATCATTACTCTGTTGTTTAAAAGGAACGCTATAATTTTCTCTATTTTTCTATATTCATATATATTTTTCGTTCATTTTTATAGAAATAATACATTTCCGTCCAAAGAGTATTAAGTACGAGCACTGGTATGTATTCCGCGTTACTCTTTTTTATATACAAATTTACTATGAGATCATTTTAGCGTTTATAGATACTTCAACTAAGCCATCAGTTAATTAAACTAAACGATATTTGACAGTTAATACGTTATTAATGGCAACATTTATAAAATTTGTCTTGTGTGATCGAGAAATTCTTTTACTTTCAGGCTACAGCTCGCACAAAAATCATCGAATGTGTTAAAAAAATGTATCACAGTTAGTCTTTTAACTAATTTAGCATTTGCACAATTTGTAGAAATCAGAATAATCGCATAATTAGTAAACATATATTCATGTAATAAAAAGTGTATTAATTCATATTCTAGTATCATTTGGGTTTGCACATACAAAAAGAAATTTTTAGACAAATTTACGGTATTTCTTAAAATGCTAGACAATAATATATTCCCAGATGTCTAAATATAACAAAAGATTATCACTGCCAACAGCAATATTCTGTTGTAAATAAATATTTGGTATAAAATGCCACAGTTATTCTTCGGGGGGAGGGGAGATTTCAGCAATTACATTAATGAAAGAATCAGACAGCTTATAATGTAATAAAACTAATAATATAAAAATATTGATTTTAGGGCCTAAGCGCAAATCCCAGGTGACAAAATTATTATTTAAAATTACAGTTTCGTGAAAATGAATCCGAAGAAAAGATTATTTTCAAAATATCATATTTTTTGTAAGTCACAACACCGTTTAAATTTAAATTGTCTCCCTTTTTGGGTACTTGCATGTTGTTTTGAGGTTCTATTGTCATATTTTGGTCAAGCATTATTTTCCCGAAGTCAAATTATTATCTGCTACAGATAGAGTGCTTTTTTTTCCTCAGTTTGTAGAGTCATTAGGTTATTTTTAAAGCAAGAGAGATAAAAAATGAGCAGCGCCTTCGCCGGAAATCGAACCACGGACTTCTGGAATACGCTCCCAGCGTGCAGACCACCACACCACGAAGGCATGCTAGGAAGGCGGGAGAAATACCTTATAGATTTATGATAATGAAATCTAAGAAAGAGGAATAAGAATGTTACATAAAGCCAGTACACTTCCGTGATTCAAAAACACTTAGCTGAGATATGCAAGAATGGGGTGTATTGTTAACAACATTCTTAAACTTTACAAACGATTAACTCTAAACGAAATGAAAATTTTAGTGAAAGGCGTAAAACGCTACCAGCCGAGATGATATTATCCCGGTAAGAAAGCTAAACCAAAATTTCTGGTTTAACAATTATGATTTACAAAAAGAGCTCTGGAGCTTTCTGGAGTTCATGCCAATGTTTCTACATTTCGGTAAAGCTTCTCGAAGCCTGCCGTAAAATATTCGGTCTCAGCAAGAAGCAAATTTTTATACCTCAGATAAAGAAAAATCGTTTGATTTAGGCGGAAAATTATTCAAGGTGGAAATTAAGTCTGAGAAACAAACCTTTTTCCTGAAGATACTTATAAATTTCCCAAGACTGGCATTTACGGAATGTAAGGAAGTCATTAAGAGATGCCAGTTGATCAGTCTATGAAACACAGGTAAAGCATATTGACTAGTCTATTAAACATCATAAAAATATTCTGAGAGGTTTTTTCTTAATTTACAAAACAGGACGCTTATACCCGTCATGAGCATAAAGAATTCAAAAAAAAAAAAAAAAAAAAACCCAATATGTAGAGAACACACAGAGAGAGAGAGAGAGAGAGGAAGATTTTCCAAATCTGACGATACTAATAACAGGAATGAAACCGTTCAGTAAGATTTTGCGCCAAGCCACAGATGAAAAAAAAATTGAAATGCCTTTCAGAAATATTAAATCTGTGTTCCTCATCTGACTTCACCGAGAATTTTTGGTCAGTCACGAAATTAAGGCTTAAAACAAAAGACATCCCTAAATAAATCCCTTAATTTCCATTAGAATCAAAGTTTGGTGTCATATTTAATAGATGGGTGAAAGATTGGTAGAATTAACGCTAAAACAAGTTATCAGAGGCGAAGAAGGCCAGTGTTTACGTGTATTTCATTAAAATTAGGCTTATATTTAGTGCATTCAGATTAACTTGTACATTAGTTGTATTACGCATTACTGTATGTTATTATCCTTTAATTTTGCCGCTTTGTTGCAGTGTTCACATGTAAAAGATACCATTTAAAAGTATTAAGTTTTTTGGCCAGGAGCCATTAAAAAATGTGCAGTGCCATCTCCGGGCACTCGAACATCGACCCTCTCGATTGCTGGCCGGAAATGCTATTCGGTTACACCAAGAAGATATGTGTTAAGGGAGAAAATACTTTACATGCTCAAATATTTTTCAAAAAGAAAATAAAACATATATAGCTGATATGACAAAGCTCATTAAGTTCAATCAAAAGAGTCTACAGCCCAAAGGGCAATGTTTTAATGGCAGATTGCGTGGATTTATTATTTTAACTTATCACTTTCCTTTTATAATTCTAGAAAGGCTGTTTTGAATATTATGCTTGAAAAAATCACACTATTTTCTATAATGCTTTAATAAAATAATAAACTTTTTAAAGAGATTAAAAAGATTCCATTCAAGTTGCAAAATTCGAAGTATTGCGGACAATGGAGGGAACAATTTTTGTCTGCCGCAGCTTCCGTCTCCCCGCTGTAACCATAGCAACTTCCGACGGAAAAACGTATCAGCAAAGGAGGTGGGGGAAAAAAAAGTAAGATGAAATTTCCAAGTGGAAGGCTTTTGGCTGCTTATCTCTTTAAGTGATGTAATAAAGTAAGTGGGAAATATTTAAAACCCGTAATCGGCTGTTTTATGCCGGCCGTTATATTGAATTCTTCTTAATCACCACGGAAGTTGAGCGCCAAATCATCTCGAGGTGGGAAAAACAAGTGTTTCTCGCCATAACAGTAGAAGTTCGAGAAGTAATAAAAGATGCGTTCTTTTTCTTTCCATCACCTGAGAACGGGGAGAAAAAATGCTGTAATATTGGAAGGATTATCACGAAGTTATATTCAGCAACTTCTATAAATGCAGCTGGGAAAGTCCAAATGCGCAGGATGCCTCTTTTTCCTGTTTAACGCAAATTCTCTTTGCTTCTTCTGCATTAAAATAAGCGCTTGTTTTCAAAATTCATAATTGGTGAATCTTGATTAATTTACTTATAAAATTTTGCTTGGCAAATGAAATTAAGTATTTGGAAAGCGTGCATTTTAAAAAGGGCTTAAAATAAAGTTAGTTTTACCGTTTTAACTCAAGTTCACAGAAGTAAGTTAAATACACTATTATTTAATATTTTTTAATCAGAAGACAAACCTAGTGTTCTTATCTCAGCCAGGGAATATTTATAAATTAAGCTGCTATGGGAATAATCCGATCATGTCTACGATATGGAGAAAAATGGAAATAAAAATTTTTTTTTTTTCAACCCTTGATTATTATGTAAAAAATGGTGACGTTCGAACTGAAGACATCTGTTCTGAGAAGGCATTTGAAAAATTACTACCGAAAGAGCATCGAAAAAGGAAATTTTAATATCTTTGTAGTTTAAAAAAATCACGGACGATTTTTTTTTCATTATTAAATATGCTTATTTGCAGCGTTTTCTGTTAATTAACCAGTTATCTAATTATTTTGCCTTTATTACCATTTTCGTCAGTTCTCACCAGGAGGCAAATTAGTTAATGTATTTAAAATTTCTGAGTTCTGAATTTTAGATACAACCTTTGACAACAATTTCTAACCGGTCACTCCATTACTTCTTCTTGCGACTGTGTTGCTTAATCGGTTGTAGCATCATTAGCCGTTATTGCTTTATAAAAGTATGTAAAACGTGAGCCAAAGCTTACTTATGCGCATTTTGCCTTCCTTTAATACTTTAGTTTGATCTCAGCATTTGTTCTGAATTTCTCAAAAGCTGTGGAAGTTTTTTTCTTATTATTGTTATCAGTTTTGTGCAACAGTAACTATGTAGGTTTGGTTTATTTGACTGTCGCAAACCACTCGATTATCTGCCGAAGAGTAGGGATGCCTTCGTGGAGGACTTTCTAAGGGAAACTGACTCGTATACACTGTAGAGTCATTAGAGTTTTTGAAGCTAGAGACGAGAAAAATATGCGGTGCCATCTCCGGGACTCCAACCCTGGAACTCTTAAATATGCATCGAGTATGTTTCTAATTACATTACGAAGGCATGCAGAACGAAGGGAGAAAATACCTTACATACTCCCCCTTTTAAAGAGCAGCTTGAGATTAGGGTACCCATTCGCCAAATCCTGATGTTGTCGAATTATCGTCCACAACCTTATAGTTCAGGCACCACTTTTTTGATGCGGGACACAAGAAAAATGTGCAATGCCCTCGCCGGGGCTCAAACCCTGGGACCTGTCGAATACGCTTCCTATTACGCCACAAAGGCATTCGGAAAATAAAGGAGAAAATACTTTAGCACGTTACACCTGGGGAAAACCACGAAAACGCCCATGCAGCCAGCATGTTCCCCGGGATTCGAATCCCTGAGTGAACTACCAGTATTCAGCGACTCGACCGCTGGTGGGTGTAAGTATGTACCTATATGACATATTAATAAGCAGGTTTACTTTAAACCTTCAACTGCGTTTGTATTTACTGTATTTTAGATGTAAGACAGACGGTAAGTTGTGTGTATGTGAGGTTCTAGGAGTTGATATTTTAGATAGTGTGGAACATTTAAATCAATTACAGGGAGCTGGGAAGAGATATT